GTGGAATGAGCTCCCGGAGGAGATAAGGGCCCTGAGGGATCTTATGCAGTTCCGCAAGGCCTGCAAGACGGAGCTCTTCTGCCAGGCTTTCGAGTAGGAGCCGCCGCCCCTACTATACCACCACCGCCCTGAGGTCCCGATTAAACACCTACTATGGAAGAATCCTGCTGCCGTCTTCATGGGACTTTGGACATTCGATCCGCCATCTTTAGATTATGAATGGCACTGAGCACTTTGTTATTAGATTTTAATATGTAGCATATGTTTTAAATTGTTATGTATATATTGTTTTACCATGGCAAGTTGTTCTTGCCTCTCTAAGCCGCCCTGAGCCCACTGGGGAGGGCGGGGTATAAGTACGAAAAAATAAATAAATAAATAAATAGAATGCAAATGAAAACTCAGAACATAGTATACAGCAACAAGTGTAAGTTGCACGGACTTACACCATTTCCTGGTACTAGCACCAAGAAGTCTCTGTCATTTGAAACCACTCTGGACACTGGTTCTGACTTAGATAAGACAACTACATCTGAGGATAGAACTTCCATTCATTAGACACAACTGCCACATAACAACTTTAATCACTCTGTAATGAGGAAAGAGGAGAATTTTTTAGATCTGGGCTGAGAACTGTGATCAGGGAAGAGACGCAGAGCTGAAGAAGCCACACCCTGCAAGAAAAAAAACTGCAAAAAACAGTCCATCTAAGGTGAAACTGAAACCAATTGAATTTTCTGTACTGAGTAAAGGCTTTTCATTTTCGCCAACACCCCCATTTAATTCCTTTCACTTGATGACTGAAGCTCAACACTTGTTTAGAAAGATACTATTAGCAGACTATTTTAAGGGAGATAAGGAAACTTTGGATTTAACAACTGACCATGGCACTTTAAAGCCAAAGTCCACATTTAACCCCCTACTAATAACCTAGAGTCCTGGTTTTTCAGGAGTTGGTCCTGGAGGAAATAAATCAACTTGAACAGGTTGAGATATTGGAGCAGTGACAGCGGCAGTAACAGCCCCAGCAAGCAGTGAAGTGGATTGGAGCCAGTGAGGTGAGAACAGGAGTAGCCTCGTCCCCTGGGCTAGAGCAACACCAAGCCGGACTCCACAGCCATGCAAGTGATTGAGGCAGACCTGGCGAGGGATGCGCCCTGGATACAGATCCAGCAGGACACTTTCACCCGCTGGTGCAACGAGCGCCTCCACCGTGTAAACAAACACATTGACAACCTACAATACGACCTGAGTGATGGGCTGCGGCTCATTGCCCTACTGGAGGTTCTCAGCCAGAAACCTATGTTCCTCAAGTACCACCAGAGACCCATCTTCCAACAGATGCATCTGGAGAATGTCTCAGTGGCACTCGACTTCCTGGACAAGGAGAACATCAAACTGGTCTCCATCGGTGGGTGAGCTTGGCGTGCTCTTGTCTCCTCGCACGGCTGGCTGGAGCTGTGTCTCTTGGCATGGGGGGTGGGGGCTGTCACCCTGATGGTGGGAAGCTGCAATGCTCCTCTTCTTCCCCCTAGCCAGATAGTACTTAAGTGGGCTTTGAGCTACCTATTCTCTCCCTCTAGCTAACCCACCCCTCAGGAGGTGCTTGGCTTTCTCTCTTGCTCTCCCCCCATGGTGCTCTGTTATCTTCCACCAGACCTTAGATGGATGCACCTCTTCCCCAAGTATGGTTGCCAGCCTCCAGGTGGGGCCTGGAGACCTTCCACTTTTACCAGCTGACAGAGATCAGCTCCCCTGGAGAAATTGGCTGCTTTGAAGGGTGGACTCTATGGCACTGTACCATGCTGAGGCTCCTCCCCTCCCCAAACCCCACCTTCTCCTGGATCCACCCCCAAAGTCTCCAGGTATTTTCCAACCCAAACCTGGCAACCCTATTGCCAAGCTATGCTATGGTGGGAAAAATTGCAGATGGTGCCCTGTGTTTTCTGTTTATTTTGTGGGTGTAGTTCAATAAAACAAGGCCGGCTGAGCCACTTTCTGGGGTTCAGGGGGGCACATGTTGAATGACTGGGTGGGGCAGTGAGGACGGGCTTAGGCTGATTCACCTGGGGAGGGTGGGTGCTGGTTGTACCTTCTAGGCTGCCTTTGAAATGTGGGTGGCAATTGTCAGACTTTTGTCAATACTTCTAGCTAGCATTCACCTGGGTGTAGACCTCAGTCTTTAATACTGTAAGCCAGGCAGAATCTCGTGATCTCTTAGGCTTTGACATTCAAGTAATGAACTTCCCATATTAATTCAGCAGAGAATTATTTTTTTAAAAAAAAACACTTTTAAATATTGTGTGGCACACCATGGTTGAAGACTCATAAACTTGCAATAGCTAGCACCCTGGTGGGCCAGGGAAAATAATGAAACAATATTTCTATGTATCTAGCCTACTAGATCTTGTTAACATATTGTAAATTCTAAGTGTGGCTATGTTGGGTTTAATATTGACAGTTTTCTCATCATGGCTCCTCTGAAACAGAATGTTTGGAACCATTTGAACCTGGTCTGTGTCATGGAAAGTGATATGCCTTTCACTGCTATGCTTCTGCAGCCACATTTCACTAATTTATATATGAATTAGGAGATAACAGGGCCAAAGGAAGATGGCACCAGAAGCCTTAAAAAGCCAAGGTTGAAACCAGTTTTAAAAATACTCAATATATTTTTGTGATCTTAGTAGATTCTTGATTGCTGTGCTTGAAAGATTTCTTAACGTAACTGAGACGTGGGTACGAGATGGGGAGACGGTTGCTCTCTCCCAGATGGCTCCTCCTGGGTTCTCGGTCCTTCACCAATCTTGGACTTCGGGGCAGGGGGGAGGAGTGACGCTGTTCATTCGGGAGGCTTACTCCTTCAGGGTGCTCCCAGTGGCGAGGATCGCAGGCATTGAGTGTGCCGGCTTTGTGTGGAAAGCCGGGGAGAGTTTGGCTGTCTGGCTAGTGTACCGTCCGCCCAACGCACCAGCCGACAGCCTGCCATCTCTGTTGGAGGCGGTATAGGGCTGGGCGTTGGAACACCCTAGGCTGTTAGTCCTGGGTGATTTCAACGTCCATGCCAACAATGCGGCCTCCTCCCAGGCGGTGGACCTGGCATCGTCCGTGGCGGCGCTGGGACTCTCCCAATATGTAACGGCCCCCTCTTACCAGGCTGGTCACACGCTTGATTTGATCTTCGCGGTGGGGGTTACAGTGGACTGGATTACTGCTAAGGTTGTTCCATGGTTGGACCACCATGCCCTGGAGTCTTGAGTGAACTTGTCACCCCAACCCTCTTTGGGCGGAGAGCGGATTTTGGCTTGCCCACAGAGCCAAATGGACCCACTGCAGCTTCAGCTGGCTCTCCGGGATCCATTGCCCCCCTGGCGGCTCATTAGATGAGCTTGCCAAGGACTGGCATAGCCGACTCGCGGCGGCTATTGACGAGATCACTCCCAGACGCCCTGTGCGCCCTCGCACAAGGCTGGCTCCTTGGTATACCCAGGAGCTAAGGCTGATGAAGCAAAGGCTCAGACAGCTAGAGAGACAGTGGCGGCAATTTCGTGACGAAGCATCAAGAGCATCCTATCGAATGTTTATAAAGTCGTATGAGATGGCAACCAAGGCTGCGAAGAAGGAGTTCTACACAGCCGAAATTGCATCTGCAATCTTGCGCCCGGCACAATTGTACAGAACAATTCGGTCTCTAACCATCCTGCCTCAGAGCAGTCAAAATGTTAGGGAATTGGATAAAGGCTGTGAGGCTTTTGCAAGCTATTTTGCAGATAAAGACTTGCTGCTCCGCTGCGACCTCCCAGCCACACAAGACAGTATGCAAACTTGAGGTTCCATGTGCGTCTTCTGGTCCCATTCTGGATTGTTTCAGCCCTCGCAGCCTAGAGGAAGTTGACAGATTGATCTCAACAGTACGTCCAACCACATGCAGCCTTAATCCGTGCCCCTCCTGGCTAATTAAAGCTGGCCGCGAGGGGTTTTGAGGTACCCTTAGGGAAATTATCAACAGGTCCCTCGCTGAGGGCCTATTCCCAGGGGCTCTCAAGGAAGCAATGGTCCGTCCTCTCTTAAAAAAACCATCTCTGGATCCGGCCGAATTGGCCAACTATCGACCGGTTTCCAATTTGTCCTATTTGGGCAAATTAATAGAGAGGGCGGTGACGATACAGTTGCAGAGCTTTCTGGATGACACTTCCACACTGGATCCCTTCCAGTCCGGCTTCCACCCGGGTTACGGGACGGAGACAGCACTGGTCGCCCTCAGAGATGACCTCTGGAGGCATCTGGATCAGGGCGGGACGACGGTGCTGCTGTTGTTAGATCTGTCAATGGCGTTCGACATGGTCGATCATCAGCTGCTCGCCCACTGCCTCGCTGATGTGGGGATTCAGGGGCTGGCCTTGCAATGGCTTGTCTCTTTTCTCCAGGGTAGGGAACAAAGGGTGGCACTTGGGGAGAAGCAGTCCCAAAGGCACCCACTGGTCTGTGGAGTGCCCCAAGGAGCAGTGCTCTCCCCAATGTTATTTAACATCTATATGCGCCCCCTTGCCTAGATTGCCCAGAGGCATGGGCTTGGGTGTCATCAATATGCAGATGACACCCAGCTCTATTTGTTGTTGGGTGGTCAGTCTGGCTCTACCCCGGAAGATCTGGACTGGGCGCTGCAGGATGTGGCGGGATGGCTTAGGTTGAGTTGGCTGAAACTGAATCCAACGAAGATGGAGGTCCTGTGCCTAAATCGGAGCGGTCCAGGGTTAGGGAACCCACTTCCAGCCTTCGGGGGGGTGCCGTTGGTGCCAGCGCTGAGGGTCAGGAGTTTGGGAGTGCTCCTGGATTCCTCCCTGACAATGGAGGCCGAGGTAGCAGCCACTGCCAAGGCAGCCTTTTACCATCTTCGGCTGATCAGGCAGTTGGTCCCCTTCCTCGAACGCAATGATCTGGCGTCAGTGATCCACGCTATGGTCACCTTGAGACTAGACTACTGCAATGCTCTCTA